GATGAAAGAATCAACTTAGTTATGGAAGAAATGAGTTAATTGTACACATGCATGCATACTTAAGCTTGATTTTGAACAAAATCTTTACATGCATGAAGATATACTTGCTATCTTGAAGGTTCTCCATGATTTAGTACTCATCATCTCATATGATCATGTTTTGAAAAGAAAAGAGTTGAATTCATCACATGCATGGCAAGATTGAAAAGCTTTGGGTTTGGGAAATGAAAAAAGGTTTTGGGATTATGGTTTGATAATTATCATGTATTCATGCTTTACAAAGAGTTTCTTCATGTTCTTATTAGCCATGCAAGCTTTGAACTTGAAACCCATGCTTTTGAACTCCAAATGCAATTCTGGAAAACCCAAAATTCGTCCAATTCGCTCGAGTGATGAATCTGTCGCTCGAGCATATTTTGCATGCTCCCAACATTTTTACAAGCCTTTGAAGTTGGCTCGAGTGACCAAGTGTGTGCTTGAGCGAACTCAACTTTGCATTGCTTGGTTCGAGCCTACTTTGACACTATCCAATATTTTTGCAGGCAGACCACACCGCTTGAGCAACTAAAGTTGCGTTCGAGCGAACACCCTGTTTCAGCAATTTTTGGAAAATACTCTCATGTGCATAACTTCATCCCATGCTCTTTTAAACATACTTGGGCATTGTTTAGACATCATTACTAAGGAAATGAATTAGAAACACATTATAGAGAATTGAATTAAGATGGGACATTTGATTAAGACATGTGTTTCAATGTGTGCCTTTATTATGTGTTTTGTGTAGGTGGTTGCCCGAGGCTTAATATCGATATAACCCACTGTGAGTAATATCTCTATAAAGATATGTTCAAAATGTATTGTTTTGAAAGTTATTAATTGAATGGTTTTGAGAAATGTTATTTTATATGAATGAATGAAGATCTTTTTGTTAAATATATTCATGGCATCCTTTAGTGAGGCCCTTGCCTGGGAAGATAATACCATGGCCTATGGATTAATTGAAACACAAAGATCTCTAATGTTAGACCCGAATAGTCCACATTGAATTTCCTATTATGGATTATTGATTGACCATTGTGGTCCCATTGGATTGACCCTAATGGTCCTATTGGCTTTGGCACGTTGTTACATTGTTACTTTATTGGATGTACCACATATAATGATTTGAATGGTTATCATTAATACAATGTATTAATATGATTGTTAATCGAATTGTCTTGATGATTGGAAATATGACTTGTTTTGGATATTGAAAAAAGATATGCTTATGAGTTGTTGGACTTCATTCATTTAAACCTTTTATAATGATGTTACTCACTGGGCTCCAGCTCACCCCTCTCCCTTATATATATATATATATATGTAGGTGAGCAAGCGAAACGTCAAGCCTAGAGAAGCCTTGGAGTCTACCCTTGTGAAGCTATTTTTGAAGTGCTTTTGTGATGGGGCCATGCTTGGACTCAAGTGGAGCCAAGTTTTGTCAAACTCTTTTTTGTTTGGTTTTGCTTTTGTTATTTTGGAACTTGCTTTGGGATGGATGTTATGCAAAAGATGTTTAAATTTGCTATGTTGTATCTATGAAAGGAAAATGGAAGTTTATTTTCTATAAAGAGATTTTTCATATATACACTGCTCAATGGACTATCGTTTATATTTGTTATTGTTTCTACTTAGCCCCGTTTATATATTATGATTGATTTTGTCTTTGAGGTCGAAGGTAATTTGGGATTATTGACCGGTCATGACCTAAATCTCTAGGGGCGAGTTCGGGTCATGATAGAGTGGTATCAGAGCACGAGTTATATCTCACTCACTTGTCCATTTGAGCCATTAGGTGTTTAGAAAGGACTAGAGGATTGCATTCATATGCATTTTAGTATAGAAATAAAGTGACTTTTGTAATTGTGTCTGTGTATATGTGTGCATACAATGTGTTTATTATAATACAAGCTCCATATAGATAATGGTGAGAACAAGAGGGGATGAACTGGAGGAGTCAACCTCCTCAAGACTTGATAGAATGGAAAATATGATGCATGATATCGCTGAATCTATAAGGCAGCAACAACAATCGCCACGCCCACCTGTAGTTGGTTTTTCGCGCCCCTTGAAGGGGTTTAGTCTTCTCGGATACGATAGCCCTATTGTTTGGACTCCTGTGGTTCTGAATCTGGTTCCATAAGTGTAATGTGAAACAAAAAAATGAATAAGAGTTCAAATCCGGCAAATCCTAGAAAATCTATTAATCATCAAAGATGCCAAAAATATCAAATTTTAGAGTTGCCACCTAAATATTTTTTAGAAATTTAGGAAACCTGTGACTCGTGCCAAAGGCCACTTGTTCGTCATAACCAAAGTGTCTCTACTCGGGAGCTTAGGTATGAGACAGGAAAGTCATGAATTGAGCACCCCACTCACCCGATCAAAGATCGGCCTCTACTAATCATGATGTGAATTTTATAGACATTATATGCTCATGTTCTGATTATTAATATACTAACATTACTATGTAAAGCAAACAAGTATAGACCACGTCACTTACTTTGGAATGCATTGATTTCATGCTTTTTTGAAAAAAGTTTTTAAATATGTGCAACTCAAAGAAAAAGCGAGTTTATATGTACAATAACCAAAGTCATTCCAATTTAAGCAAAATAGCCTTTATCCATAGGTATTCAAAGAGGTATTTCAAATAAGCACGTAGCCTCATGGTAGTATGCTTGACATGGCAACACAAACACACATGTAATATGCTAAAGTAAAAAAAAGCTCACCTAGTACTCAAATGAGGCAAGCCAAAGAAAAGAAGATAGTTAGAAAAATGTATGATCCTAATGTGCAAAGTGGCTAATGCAACACATACACATATGCAACTACTAAATTCGGCTACTAACATGATATGTGAAGCAACTCAAAGCATGAGGTAGCGCACATAATCATTTAGGATTTGGTAAGAGCCTTATGCATGATGAACAGAATTTTGATGCATGAAAAAAATGGATATAAATCATGGAAATGATAAAAGAAAACATGATGCTACATACAATCATGGTAAGCATGTAAGTAAAAAGGAGAAAGAAATGGGGTTGGAAGACATACAAATATTACAAATTTGCCCTCGTACAAGAGGGTCCAAATGTCCTAATTAACTAATTATTACATCATTGTATAAATAATTACCTAATTTATTACAACAATAAACGTTACAACAATGAAATAATGAAAATAAACATGAACCACATGTGTGCCAACGAAGATATTTTCCAGAAACTGCTCTATCTGCCTTTGGGAGAACTGCTCTATTTCATCCTCAGCCACTGCTCTGTGTTTCAGCAAAGGTGCTTTGTTAACCTCATTTTGAAGCCCGATTGGGTCTAATTAAATCCGGTCGTGCTCTAATTTTTGGCAAAAAGATTATTTTGTGCACTGAGGTGAAAACAGTGTAGACAGAGTGTTTCTAGGAGATATTTATCCCCTTTGCCCTTCCCTATCATGAAGATATTCAAGGGAGGAGTAGATTCGATTCTCAAATCATCAATCATCGTAAATTTGTTGCGTGATGATCTTAGAAGCAATAGGACAAGAGTTTAATAAATGCAACAAAAGACAAACACTACTTCATCTCTATCAGGGAGTTACTTCAAGGGAAGAGGTAGACATGTTTCATGAACCATCAAACATCACAAAAATAGTATGCAATGCTTCTAGAAACAACAGATTCAGTATAACGTCCGACTGAACCTAATCAATTTTTATTATCTTTTCACCTTTTTATTTTCTTATCTTTTCTTCTTTTTTACATTGAGGTGGTGATTAAGTCTAAAAGCAATAAAAGCCTAGCAAGCATGACTTAACCCGAGAAATGAACTCTTCGAGCCCTTTTCTACGGGAGAAATTACAAAGGAGGAATCAAACCCATTTACAAGCGATAATGAATTCGGAGTCAAACCTGAAACGAGTGATAATGACTCCAAATCCAAACCTGGTAATGAGCTATAATGAATCCTTCCTTTATGATTCCAAGGGCCTAACTAGAAAATTAGTCCCTTAAAGGTAACACACCAGTGACCGGAGGAGATGTTAAACAAGAGATTGCGCTTAGTATAAGGAAAACGTGATACCCTAGTAATAAACCTCTGAAGAGATTAAACCATTTAGCACGAGGAACCCCTTCCTTATACCAAGAACAATAATCCTTCATTTGATACAACCCTTGATCGAAAGAGCAAAGAAATGGGGAAGGTTGTAGAAAAAAAATGAAAAGGTGGTGATTACAATGGTGTGGATATTTACATGAAAGCTATGGAAAGAGAAGCTATCAACTCAAATGGATTGGAGGCTATCGCCTATAAACCAAATCCATGAAGACTTACAACAACACAATTATGATATTCAAAGCATAAATTAAATAGACACACTAAACACAGCCCCTAAACTCACAAAACAGTGATCAAAATCCAAAGGAAACAAGTAAAAAAGGTAAAGCAATAAGCTATGGAACAAGGTCTAAGGAAGGGTGGCTAATCCCTTCACCCTTTGAAGCTTTTAGTCACATATTCTAGCCCCTCAAAACAGCTCAAAAACAGTATGTAAGACAAGAAAATGAGAGGAGGAGAATGGAAGAAGAATAAAGAATATGATGCAAAAATTATACCTCTTGAAAGAGAGGAAGTTCTTTGTTAACAAACTTGATTTCAAACAACCTCAAGTTTCTAAAAATATAGTTTGAAACTTGAACAAAAAATGTATAGCTCAAAGGTGGTATGGAGGTTGAGAGGCTCTTTCAAGGGAAGGGAGGGTCTTTTTAGCTCTCAAAATCCTTATAAGCCTTTTGGAAATTCTGCTAATCCCAAATTCTGAAGGGGAGGTCGTATTTATAGAATTTGAGATAATTTGGTCATAAATATCTTCAAAAAAGGACAACTGGTGAATTCCCGCAAGATATTTTTTTTATTGCCCATTAGACCTGATCGGGTCCCAATACTTACGGTCGGGCCCCAATGGTGTTCCCCTGGCTCACTGCTGCAGGTGCAGTGCAGGTAAAAATAAAAATGCTTCAAAAATAGGTTTTAAGGTCTAAAACATTTCGGCCAAATTGGAGTGTAAGGTTTGAATTTTAGAGCTCGAATCCAGATTCTTTTGCTGAGAGTTTCAAATGATTTATACAGCGTAACTTTCATCATCGGGTGTTTGGAATAAAGCGCCCAAGTCTTAGGGGCGATCAAAATGGGGTGTCTACACCACCTCCAATGCCTATACCACCACCATCACAAGGCCACCAAGCCGATGACCAAACAATCGTTCTCACTAAAGAATTTAAAAAGATGAAGCCACCACTGTTCTATGGGGTAGTGGATGCACTAAAGGCTGAAGCTTGGGACTTTTGAATAGAAAAATTGTTTGAAGTGTTTCCGTGCACTAAAGCACAGAAAGTCTTACTGGCCACATTCATTCTAGATGATGAGGCGAGAAGATGGTGGATATTAATTCACGATGATAACAAGGAAATTGGATGGGCTTGATTTCTAGAGATTTTCTATGAAAAGTATTTTCCACAGTGCATCTGGGATAGGAAGGTATTCGAATTTGACGGGTTAAAGCAAAGGAACAAGACAGTGGCAGAATATGACGCGCAATTCACTGAATTGGCATGCTTCGCGCTGCATATGGTCGATACGGACTACAAAAAGGCTAAAAAGTTTGAAGGAGGCCTTCGTGACTCGATTTTGGACATGATCAATATACTCAAGTTAACGACATATGTTGATGTTTTGGATAGGGCACTCATGTCAAAAGTAAATATGGCCACTCGTAAACAGAATTTTGAATGGAGAGGCAAAAGACAGAACTTCAATGCAAATAAGGGAACAACGTTTTCAATGAACAAGAAGTCAAAATCAGAGACTTCTGGTAATTTAAGTTTAAATCAGAGTGGCAATTCAGTGCCTTCTTGCACTATATGTGGAAAGAAACATCGAGGTGTTTGTTATCGCACTACGGGGGTGTGCTATCAGTGTGGGAAAGTTGGTCACGTGGCAAGAGATTGTACATAACCACGACAAGGTGGTAACCGAGGTGCTACAACTTCGACTGGGTCAGTCCCAATGGTGAGATCATGTAACACCTGCTACAACAAGAAATGATCTAAGGCAAGGAAGAGTCTTCACACTCATTCCAGGGGACACTCAGGACACAAAGGTAGTAGTTTTAGGTACACTTTCTATTTGTGGCCAAATTGCGTATGTATTGATTGATTCGGGTTCTATGCACTCGCTTGGTTCTATGATATTTGCTGATAAATTGAATAGACCTATGGAAACCTTAAGATACATATTGTGTGTTGCATCACCAACAGGGGGATCCATGTTGTGTTCATCTGTTTATTCTGCATGTGAATTATTGCTTGGGAATGCCACTTTATATGCTGATTTGTCATCCTTTGATATGAGACACTTTGATGTTATTTTGGATATGGATTGGCTATCTAAGTACCATGTAACTATTGATTGTGCTTCTAAAAGAGTGATATTTTGACCTCCGGGTTAGGATGAATCTTATTTTGAGGGGAAGGGTGTAGGTTCTCCACCATATCTAATATCTGCAGTGAAAGCTCGTAAACTAATTAGTAAAGGTTGTCAAGGGTACTTGTGTAGTGTAGTGAATGATCAAACCATGGACATCACTTTAGATAGTATTCCGGTAGTAAGAAACTTTCTAGATGTGTTTCTGGAAGAGTTACCAGGACAATTGATTGATAGGGAGATTGAGTTTGCAATTGATGTAGTATCAGGTACACAACCGATATCTAAAACTCCGTATTGTATGTTTACTACTAAAATGAAAGAACTGAAAATTTAGTTGTAGGAATTACTTGATAAGGGATTTATTCGACCAAGTATATCGCCGTGGGGCGCACCAGTTATTTTTGTAAAAAAAAAGATGGCACCCTCAGATTGTGTATTGATTATAGGGAACTCAGCAAGGTAATTGTATAGAACAAATATCCTTTGCCACGTATTGATGATTTGTTTGATCAGTTATAGGGGGCTCAGGTATTTTCAAAGATTAATTTAAGATCGGGATACCATCAATTGAAGGTAAAAGCCGAGTATTGAGAAAACTGCTTTCTAAACCAAGTATGGACATTACAAATTTTTAGTCATGCCTTTTGGAGTCACTAATGCACCTGCAGCTTTCATGGATTTGACGAATAGAATCTTTAAACCTTTCTTGGATGACTTTGTTGTTGTATTTATTGATGACATTCTGATCTATTCGAGAAGTAAGAATGACCATGAACAATACTTTAGAATAATCCTTCAGACACTTAGGGAGAAACAATTGTATGAAAAATTTAGAAAGTGTGAATTCTGGTTAGATGAAATTACATTTTTGGGGCATGTTATTAACAAAGATGCCATTTCAGTTGACCCACAGAAAATTGAAGCGATTGTAGAGTGGCCTACTCCGAGTAATGTCACAGTGGTCCAAAGTTTTATGGGATTGGCAGGTTATTATCAGAGATTTGTCAAAGACTTTTTGAAGATTGCTGTACCATTGACTCAACTAACTCGGAAAGGAGAATCGTTTGAGTGGACAGACCAAAGGGAATTTTCATTCTAGGATATGAAGACAAGACTGACCACGACCCCAATTCTTACTATACCATTAAGTACCGAGGGATTTGTAATTTTTAGTGATGCCTCTTACAAAGGCTTGGGTTGTATCTTAATGTAGAATGGCAAGGTAGTCGCTTACGCATCTCGGTAACTGAAATCGCATGAGAAGAACTACCTGACACATGATTTGGAACTTGCTGCTGTTGTATTTGCATTGAAAATATGGCGCCATTACCTTTACGGAGCAAAACGTGAGGTATACACAGATCACAAGAGCTTGAAATACTTCTTTTCACAAAAAGAGTTGAATATGCGACAAAGAAGATGGCTTGAATTAATCAAAGATTATGATCTGCAAATTCAGTATCAGCCAGGTAAGACCAACACTATAGCCGATGCACTCAGTAGAAAGAATATGAGAAATTTGGCTTGTGTGCTTACAGATCAAAGGGAACTCTTGCAAGAATTTAAAAGACTTGAAATAGAAGTGGTGCCTTATGAACAAGATAGTTATTAGCCCAATTTCAGTATAACCAGCAATCATAGAAAAGATCAAACAGAAGCAAGTCAACGATGATTTCTTTAAGAAGATACATGATGAGTTTGAGATCAAGCCTAAATCGGGTTCACCATTGAAAATCAAGTATTGAAGTTTCAAGGAAGACTTTGTGTCCTTAATGATGCTGAATTGGAGGATTCTGAAAGAAGCCCACAAATCAATGTTTGCTATGCATCCCAGAAATACTAAGATGTATCAAGATTTGAAACAAGTATATTGGTGGCCGAATATGAAAAGAGAGATTATCGACTTCAATCCTAAATGCCTCCAGTGTCAACAAGTTAAGGCAGAACATCAGAAATTGGCAGGCTTACTTCAATCCCTCTCTATTCCAGAATAAAAATAGGAGCACATAACCATCGACTTGCATCATCGGTCTACCTCGGACATCTAGAGGTATGAATACTATTTGTGTTATAGTAGATAGATTGATAAAGTCTGCTCACTTCTTTGTTGTAAAAACTTTCTTCAATGCTTATAGACTTGCTACTATCTATATTGATGAAATCATTCGATTACATGGGGTTTCAGTGTCTATTGTTGTGGATAGGGATTCTAAATTCATTTCTAGATTTTGGCAAAGTCTACAAAATGCAATGGGAACGAAATTGAGATTTAGCATTGCTCGTCATCCACAAACCGATGGACAAATCGAGAGAACTATCCAAACCCTGGAAGATATGGTTTGCATGTGTGTCCTAGAATTTCAAGGGAACTAGGAAACTTACTTACCGTTGGCTGAGTTTTCATATAACAATAGTTTTCACACTAGTATCGGTGTGGCACCATATGAGGCGTTCTATGGGAGGAAGTGTAGGTCTCTAGTTTGTTGGACTAAGGTTGGTGATAGGGCTTTGTATGGGTCACAACTTGTGCAAATGACAACTGAAAAGATAGAGATCATTCAATAAAGGCTCAAGACTGCTCAGAGCCGATAGAAAAATTATGCAGACCAACGGAGAAGAGATTTAGAATATGAAGCAGGTGATCATGTGTTCATCAGAGTAACACCAATGAAAGGGAAACAAGGTTTGGTAGGAAAGGAAAATTGACTCCTAGCTATATTGGGCCATTTCAGATTTTGGAAAGGCTTGGTCCCCGTTGCCTACTGAGTAGCCTTACCACTGAGAATGGAATAGATGCATAATGTGTTTCACGAGCTGATGCTTTGCGGCTATCTTTGTGATACGTTCCATGTCATAGACTACCACCGAATAGCACTTGATGATGATATGGTATATGAGGAAAAGCCAATTCAAATTATTAACCGATAAGTTAAGCAATTGAGAAACAAATCGATTCCTATGGTGAAGGTTGAATGGAAAGAACACTACAGAAAAGAGGCTACATAGGAAAGAGAGGATGAAGTGGGACAACGATATCTAGAGTTATTCACGAATGAAGGTAACTTAAAGTTTAGAGGACCAAACTTCCTAAGGGGGAGAGACTTTGATGATCCTGACGTGCATATCATTTTTGTATATTATTTTATTGAGTATGTTTGCCTAATTATGTGTTTAATTTTGTGTTTATTTGTTTGTTTATGGAATACTTGTTGGAATACTGACTTGGAATCAAAAATTGAAAGCCCAAACAGATTTAGAAACCGAAATTGGGTAGTTCAATAGGCTAATTAGAATATTTAGAATCATATGGCAAGTTTAATTAAAATTTGATTTGGATCAAAATAATTAGAATAAATCAATTAGAATTGATTAGAATTAATTACACTTAAGCTAGATTAATTATCCCTAATCCTATTTAAATAGCCTAACCTAATCAAACCTATATTTATAAACTTATGAATTCATCGTTTTGCACCCTTTGAGCTGAAAATTAAAGAGTGTAGGAGAGCTTCAACTTCCTTAGAGATAGAAGAATAAGAATTAAAGAATTAAGGGGGAATTTGAGAGGATTAAGCCTCACACCTTCAATTCAAGTTCTATGTCATTACCTGAGGCTTAATATCGGTATAACCCACTTTGAGTAATATCTTTATAAAGAAATGTTCAAAATTTATTGTTTTGAGAGTTATTAATTGAATGGTTTTGAAAAATGTTATTTTATATGAATGAATAAGATCCATCCTTTAGTGAGCCCTTGCTAGGGGGAATAATACCATGGCCCATGGATTAATTGAAACATAGAGATCTCTGATGTTAGACCCAAGTGGTCCACATTAAATTGCCTATTATGGATTATTGATTGACCCGTTGTGGTTCCATTTGAATGACTCTAGTGGTCCTATTGGCTTCGGTACATTGTTACATTACTACTTTATTGGATATACCGTGCATAATGATTTGAATAGTTATCGTTAATACAATGTATTAATATGATTGTTAATCGCATTGTTTCGATGATTGGAAATATGAATTGTTTTGGATATTGAAAAAGGATATGTTTATGAATTATTGGACTTCCTTCATTTAAACCCTTTATATTGATGTTACTCACTAGGCTTCAGCTCACCCCTCTCCCTTATATATATATATATATATATGTGTGTGTGTGTGTGCGTGTGTGTGTGTAGGTGAACAAGTAGAACGTCAAGTTTAAGGCTGCCTCGGTATCTACTCCTTTGAAGTCGTTTTAGAAAGTGCCTCTGTGAAGGGGCGAGCTTGGACTCGAGAGGAGTCAGGCTTTGTCAACCCAACTTTTGTTTCTTTGGATATTTTTGCAACTTGTATTAATGATGTAGGGTGAAAAGTCTAACTTTGAAATATTGTATATAAGTTGTTGGAGTTGAAAGTTTTTAATATTTATGATATCGGCATGTATGCACTGCTCAACAGTCTATTTTTATATTATACTATTACTTCTGCTAAGCCCCATTCTTATAAGATGATTGATTTTGTCATTAAGGTCGAAGGTAATCCTGGATTATTGGCCGGTCATGACTTAAACCTATAGGGACAGGTTTGGGTCATGACAGATCGGGTCTTGCATAACACAAATGAGAATGCTTGTCGCACATATGAGAATTCCTGTGGCAGACCGAAACACAAATGAGAATCTTTGTGGCCGCGACAGGTTGTAACTATCTTGTATTCCAAAATGACACGACCTGGGTATATAACCCTAGGAGTGGGGCATCTGGAATGGTGAGCAGGAAAGGATACCGTTTTGCCTAAAGCCAAGCTTGGAGTGTTAGGTAGGAACAACATTTCGTGGGAGTTGCTTAGAACTAACTTGATTAATTGTTATTCTTAAGAACTGAAAATTATTATAAGTTCTGCTTGATTATTATTTCCACTATATGATATGACCATGCCATTGTTGTAATTGTGTATTGGATTAGAAGAAAGTGATGGGATATGTTTGCGATTACTGGGCATCCTAAGCTCATGGCATTTCATGTCAGGTAGTGAAGACGATCATTCGGGCAAAGACGAAACCAAAACATTTGAAGTCATTTAGCTATCATCGAAGAAGCTAGGGATTATCTTTGTTTTAGGTCCATCTGTGATCTTATTTTTGTTTTGGAAATGTAAAATTGATGGAACTTCATGTTTTGTAACTAAGTTATAACATTGTAATTATTATTTGCTTATATATACGTATATCATTTGGTAAACTTATCATTATCTTTATCATTCCATCAACTTATGTAGATTTTGTATTAATAATTTGTTAAAATCTATCAAAAATGTAATTTTGCTATCTAAAGAGATTGGATTTTGAAGGGGCTATATTGACTCCTCGATCTTTCTTGGGATCTTATTTGGTTATTGACCAAATGACTCATTAGTGACGTTTCCTTGACTCGTAACTTTAGAAAAATCTTGTATTTATTTGTTAATATAGATGTCCCTAATTTTTGGAGCATCACATATACGCATGATCACCGTGAAGTCCAGTGGTGACGTCAGTTGTACCGAGAATGGAATAGTTGAACTACCCATTACATGATCATGCAAACACATAATAAAAATTAATTTAGTAAAACAAATAAATAAATGTGTAAAAAATTTATCAGTTTTACATAATTTTATCTTTGGTAGGTAGAAATAATTTTTTAAATAAAAAATATTTTTTTTGACATTTATTTTTGTCAAATTAATTTATGTTTTATCAAATTGACGATTTTGCCCTTGAAATTAAGTAATGGTATCTTCAATTGTCCTTATTTAGAATAAGATTCAAAATTTCAAAACATTCTTAATCGTGCATGATTCTTTCTCAATTAAGCTTACTTTCAAGAAGATATGAATGTAGATGTCTTAAATTCAAGAATTTAAGAAATTCCTACCTTAACTTGTTGAATTATGAAGCTTTAAGCTTATTCTTCAATGTCTTCCTTAAGCTCTCTAAAAAAACATCATCTCTTCCTCAAGTTGTATCTCTTTCTCTTTACAAAGCCCACTAATTCTCTCATATTTTGAGCTCAAGAATATGAGCTATTATATATATAGGCTCAATCAGTTTATTTAATTAATCAAAGC